GCTTTTTTCAAAATTTATGGGAATTGTCTTAAATGCTTCAAAAATTTATCAGAGGTATATAACTGTCCAACACTCTTTGGGTCCTGTCACTGGATCTAACCAAGGCCTTTATCCACTGTGCCATGTGTCCTTGAGGACAAATATAGACAGATATTGCAAAGAACTTGCAAGTGATCTACTGTTCTGGACACCTAGCCATGGCACAAGAGGGGTTAGACAACTAGCAACCACCTATATTGACCAGCTGCATTATGACACAAAATGCCATCATAATGACCATCCAACCTTGATGCTGGACTGTGAGGGACGGTGTGATAGACTCAGGAATCTTTGAACTAGCTCAATCGAATAAAAAATAAATTAATAAAATCATTTTGAGAAACAAAACCAAGCAAGAACCTGCAAATGATTTATTGCTCTGCACACTTAGCCATGGAGCAAGACGGGTTGGTCACCCAGCAGCCACCTACATTGACCAGCTACATTATGACACAGAATGCCTCCCTAATGGCCTTCGTACCTTGCTACAGGACAATGGGGGTTGGCATGATAGACTCAAGAATGTCTGAACTAGCTCAACTGAATAAAAAATAAATTAATTGTTGTGGAGTTATTTCATAGTGGATGCTTGTATTTGTACTAAATCGGTCCTAAAATAGGTTCAACATACAAAACGTTAGGAACTTGATATAATAGGTACTACACAGAGTAATCTTGTTGTGGTCGCTGACTACTTTTGTATTCGACTAACTGTCGATTACTGTCGTCCGACATCGACTGACCCTCGTTTCTCTTACTACTCCTACTTATATTAGGTGAGAGAGTCTATGAACTATAGAATAGGTGTGTTTCACCATAACAGCCCCCCTCCTAAAACTTTACTCTGTAGGAGTAAAACAGTTTTTTTTATTTATTTTTTACAGGAAATATGAAGAAAAAACAAAAAAAATACTTCATTTTTTTAGCAACATCGTAGCGTATCTCCTACGTTTTGGATCCACTTTTAAATGATCAGTTGCCTTTCTTTTTCTCCTGGATCGGCGTACCTCAGGTAAAATCGTTGCAGACGTTGTTAGATCAAACGTATCAAAAATCACCTCCATCGGGTTTCCTCGTGTGAGTTCGAATCTCATCCTCGTTGCCAAAGTTGTTGCGGAGTTATTTCGCAGTGGAGGCTTGTATTTGTACTAAATCAGTCCTAAATAGGTTCAACGTACAAAACGTTAGGAACTTGATATAATAGGTATTACACAGAGTAATCTTGTTGTGGTCGCTGACTACTTCCGTATTCGACTAACTGTCGACTACTGTCATCCGACATAGACTGACCCTCGTTTCTCTTACTGTTCCTACTTATATTAGATGGGAGAGTCTATTAACTATTATATTAGATGGGAGAGTCTATTAACTATAGAATAGGGGTGTTTCACCATAACATTAATAAAATCCTTTCAGCAAACAAAACCAATTAAGAACCTGCAAGTGATCTATGCTCTGGACACCTAGCCATGGAGCAAGATGGGTTGGTTTCCCAGCAGCCACCTACATTGACCAGCTATGAATGCCACCCAAATGATCTTCCAATCTTGATGCAGGAATGTGAGGGTTGATGTGATACTCATGAATGTCAAGCTTTATCACCAAGATTCTCAGGATAATATCCTGCAAAAAGCTAACATATCTATTACTGCAGACACAAACACTGATGCGACAGTTCTCCTACATCATCTAGAAAATGCTGTCCATGATGTTGGACAATGATGTTTGGTTTGTATTGAAGCCTATGAATTTGGTTTTAGAGGTATTAACTACTACATTTAAAATAATTTCTGTTAGTTTCTTTAAAGAACATGTTCTGTATTTGTAAGTTACTTGTAGTTTAACAAACCACAACATTAGATTTGTTTTGTTTGTTTTACGGCATATCAACCTCAATGAGTTATTTAATGCCACCAAGATTTTTATTGCTCATAATTTTTTTTTTCAAAAATGTCTTGCTGGTGATATTTTTTTTTTTTAGATTTATTGCTGCTAATAATGTATTACTGGTAATAATTTTTTCTTAAAAAAATTAAAAACCAAATTCATAGGCTTCAATACAAACTGTGTCGTGTGAATCAATAAAATTTGTCGAATATTTTACATAACTTGGAAGGGAAATAAATTGGATAAAATGGATGTAATCAAGAAATCGGATCTACCACACAACCTCAAGCAGTGATATACAAAATTTACATATATCCTTCGACATTTATTGATGACTATTATTATTATTATTACATGGCTGAATTGTTAGAACATTATCCTTTTGACCATAAAAGTCAGATTGAAATCTTACCATGGTCAATTTCTGAGGGAGATGACTAGCATGCGACACCAACGGAAAGTGACGGAAAACCATGCCAAAGGTGGCAGACAGACGCATTTTCAGTGACATTGGGGAGATTCAAATTTTCGGTAGCAGTTGATGGTTTCATTGGAACAAAGTCACAAATCATTGTGCCCAAGAGACAGAGTTCATTGGCTTTTTTTCAAACCGATGATCATGCCAGATAATACAGTTTTCTTTACAAAGATTCCAACACAACTCAAATGGGATTGTCTTAAAAATTTGTTTTAAAAACAGTATTTCAGTTTTCAGGAAAATTTTTCATGTGTTGAAATCTTTATACATTATTATTTTTTAAGCGATCATTTTCTAGGTTTTATCTTTCTAGAAAAATTTCTCAGTCGCGACACACCAAAACTGGTGACCTGAGTCAGGACACACACAGAGTGGGAACACAAACAGAGTCTGATCATCTTAGTCAGGACACTCACACAGTTCAATCACATGACTCAGAACATTCACACCACTTGAGTCTGAATACTCATACACTTCAACTATCCAAGCAAAGACATTAGATTTATGGCTGCAAAATTACATCTCTGGATTGTCCAAGAGATAAATGGCATAGTAGATTAAAGTGTTGGCATCATCTAAGAAGAATAAAATTCAAGACAATATTACTACTAAAAGTACTAATGTAATAAAAAAGATGAAAGTAAATCCTAGTCAAAAATGAATAATGGCTGACAATGCTTCATCTAATAATAAAATTCAAGATAATATTACTACTAAAAATACTAATGTAATAAAAAGCAAGATGAAAGTAAATACTAATCAAAGATTAATAATGGCTGACAATGCTTCATCTAATAATAAAATTCAAGATAATATTACTACTAATATTACTAATGTAATAAAAAGCAAGTGAAATTATGACAAAAGAAATGGAAGTCAAAAATTAATAGTAATTCCAATCTAATGCTGCTGTTAAATCCTGCCAATGCCAACAGGGACTTGAAAATTCTCTCATTTATGATTAGACAAAGCAGTACTGTTTGATGAGAATTTACCGTTTCCTAGAAGATATGATATTAGATAATTCGATGACATTATTCTTCTGCATTTGTCGATAAATGATGTGATGCATTAAGGAAGCTGCAGGACAATTATACCTGACACTCAGCTGTCTGTCGATGATGACATGAAGAAACTTGATTCAGTTTAATAAAATGGTATGTTGCTTCAATTCAGCAATAAATATTTTCCATTGTCACATAAGAAACTGCTGAAAAGAAAAGTTCTCAACCCAAATCGTTTACCATTCTATTATTAGATGAAGCATTGCCAACAATTATTCATTTTTTACTAGTATTACTTTCATCTTAATTTCAATTGCTTTTTAAAAAAACTTGAAGCAACAGAAACAAAGAAAAGAACTGAACTGTTACGTAATATCAGTCCTCCTATATGGCAGTGAATGCTGGACAATCTCCTCACACATGAAGAAAAAACTTGAAGCACAAAAAAACAAAGAAAAGAGTACTGAACTGTTATGTGATATCAGTCCTCCTATATGGCAGTGAATACTGGACAATCTCCTCACAGATGAGGAAGAGACCTACCTAATGAGCTTGTTCAAAATGGATGACAGAGTAGAAACTGAGAGGGATGTTGTAAAGATAGATCTTGCTAAGAGTGACAAAGGATGAGGAAGTTGAAGGGACATGGCATATATAAGAAGTACCTTATCTAGATTCTGTTTCTTACCAGATTAACAACATAGATAATCTATTCTTTTTTAATTTTTTTATTCACCTGCTAAGGATACTAATTTAATTTGAAATATCTATTGTATTTTATTTTACATTAATATTTATCCTCTTCACTACTTGAGGTAAAAAGCAAGAGATACAGTTTATGTGGATATGTGGGGGCAGATAACAGTTAACCTTGGACTTGAAGAAGTTAAGATTGTGATGATCAGGGGAAGCATCTTTTTCAGTCAGTTCTATAAAACAATAGTTTGTGGGAAGAAGCACCAATGGAATACAAATGGAATCCATTTAGATTGCTTGCACATCCAACCTTACAGCACTTGGCCTTCCCAAGCAGTCACCCATCGACACTGACTAGGCTCAGTATTGCTTAACTTCTGTGAGAATACAAGAACCCATGTTTCAACATGATATAACCATAATCACTTTAGTCTACTTGTACATCCAAGCTTAAAGAATCTAGTATTCCCAAGCAGTCACCCATCTATCATAGTTTTAACTGACCAAGTGTTTCAACAGGATATGTTTTAATTCCTGTAGATTTTACAAGCTTCCAACTTTAGTGTTTCAATCTAGATATGACCAGGCTAATTCTTAGAATCTGTGAATCAATGTTTCAACACATTCAAGCTTTCAAGCAAAACTTGCTATTCCCAAGCAGTCACCCATCTAGATACTGATCAGGCTCAACATTGCTTAACTTCTGTGAATCAATGTTTCAACATGATATGACCATAATTCCTTTAGAATACTTGTACATCCAAGCTTCCAAAACTTGCTATTCCCAAGCAGTGACCCATCTAGATACTGACCAGGCTCAACATTGCTTAACTTCTGTGAATCAATGTTTCAACATGATATGACCATAATTCCTTTAGAATACTTGTACATCCAAGCTTCCAGCACTTGCTATTCTCAGGCAGTCACCCATCTAGATACTGACCAGGCTCAATATTGCTTAACTTCTGTGATCAGACAAGAATCAATGTTTTAACATATGACCATAATTCCTTCGGACTACTTGTACATCCAAGCTTCCAGAACTTGCTATTCCCAGGCAGTCACCCATCTAGATACTGACCATGCTCAATATTGCTTAACTTCTGTTTCAACATGATATGACCATGTTATTCCCAGGCAGTCACCCATCGACATAGCGAACAGACTTATTTTTTGGTGCTTTTACAAGAATTGGCATTTTAACCTAAGCCTGTCTGCGGAAAAGGGGTTGTAGGACAGCAAATAATTCAACAACACCAAAGACGTGGAAAGACTTACCTTTCTGAATCCGAGTTGGAATGTGAAGGGTTTTCTGAACTTGAACTGAGTGCTTCACCTTTCTTCTTGTGTCTTTTACCTTTTTTCCTTCCATGGGAATCTGGCCTGTAATCACAAAGTCAACGAGTCTCGGTAAGAATTAACCATATAATAATCAGACATATATAAAGTACTTGTCAATTCATAAATTCCTAAACGCAGACAAATTCATTTCTTCTTGATTTTCAATGCATTTTTAGAGTCGAATACATTTGCTATACAATGGCTTTCTCAGATAGGGTATGACGATAAACAATATCCGGCAGCAAGGCCCCTGATTGGGAGGTTTTAAAGAGTGGAAAACTGTTATGGTGACCTATCTACAGTAGAATGAACTCTTCCTCGTTCATAAATACTAACCTGCAAGACTTCCTAAGCAGTCACCCATCTAGATACTGACCAGGCTCAATATTGCTTAACTTCTGTGAATCAATATTTCAACATGATATGACCATAATTCCTTTAGAATACATCCAAGCTTCCAAAACTTGTTATTCCCAAGCAGTCACCCATCTTGATTCTGACCAGGCATAATATTGCTTAACTTCTTTTTTGGTGCTTTTACAAGAATAATGTACCACCTGTTTAAAATTGTCAGTGTAACCTGACAGTTCAGACGGACATTTCTATCTGCTGACTAATAACACTCTTATTCTCTATATATGTTCTGTTATTTCAATACACTTGTTTAACCGACTTTCTCGTCTTTCTTTCTGGTTCCCTAACAGGCCACAACAAAAACGACCTTTTAATTGCTGTTGTTGCCAGGTCAACCCTGACCTGGAATGGTACCACCTGTTAGTGGTGAACAAAAACTACTGCAGTGGTGATCAAAAACTTGCAGATTTGAGTTAAAAGGCGATCACTGAGACATCTGGAAAAGCCATGGCATGTGGAACTAGAACAATCTAGTCTCAAAGAGTTGTGAGGGAAAAAAAATACTTGGAGAGTTGAGTTACTAAAGGGAATTAACTGAAACTAAGATATCCAGAAAAGGCATGGCATGTGGAATTAGAACAGTCACCCCCTGTGAACTAAATAAAGGGTTTGGTTTGATATTCCAACATATATGAAGAAGGTCGGAGCGTACAATATTCGAAATGTCATGAATATGGCTAAAGATGAGGACAGGACAACAGCCCAAACAATGTAAATAGTGTAAGTGTATTTGTCTATATTTCTGAGATGAGGACACATGGGCCAGTAGATAAAAGCGTTGGTTGGATCCAGTGACTTAACCCAAGGAGTTTGTGAGTTCAATACCTGGCTACTGCAGTGGTAAACAAATAATTGGTGAGTTAAGTTAAGTTAAAAGGGGATAACCGAGACATCTGGAAGAGCCATGGCACGTGGAACCAGAACAATCTACCCTGCTGGATGAAATAAAGGCTTCAGTTTGAAATTTCGATCACCTGAAGAAGGCCGGAGCATACAATGGCTGAACGTCATGAATATGATAATAGAGATGAGGACAACAGTCTGAATAATGTAAATGGTTCAGTATTTTCAAATAGTTTTCTCAGGTTTGTTTACTTTTTTTTATTGCCACAATTCAGGATTGCCACTGATAGAATGAATGAAGGGAGAGAAAAAAAATGTGTATAGAGAGAATGACAATGAATGGGGTTCAAGACATCAGAAGATGGCGATTGACATTGCATTTAATTTTTTTAAGGTTGTAGTTATCAGGGAAGCAAGGCCAACGGTAGGGAGTTCCACAGGTGGGAAGTGTGAGAAAAGAAGCTGTTGGAGAAAGTTGACAGTTACATTTACATAATAATAATGGCGGTTACATTTAACGTAATAATATATACTCGTGTATCATTCGACATTTGAAGACCTAATTTTGAAGCTAATTTTAAGAGGGTCACATCATACATGAGATATAAAATTAGTGTATGTACTGCTGGCCCTGGCTACGCTATTGACCAAACTATATATCCATTTACTGTAGACAAATTAACTTCAAAATTAGGTTGTCATAAGTTGCATGATATACACGTATATATACAGTAAAAATATATTTTTATTTTTTTTTATAGTGTTTTGTTTTTGTTTAAGAGCTTATTATTTGTCCATACTTTGGACCCTAACAAGTGCTACCACACCTGGTCAGGGTCAACCTGGGAAAAACAGCAATTAAGAGGTGGTTCCATGTTCCTCAAAACCTCTAATCTCCTGATCAGAGGCTTTGCTGCCGGATGTAATTTATCGTCATACCCAGGACTACTATAGTAACAGATGAAGCTGTAGGGAATATAGTGAACTGCCAATATTTTTAATGAGGATTACTACTGTTGTGCTGGATTAAATACATGATTTAAAGCGATTCTTAAATCAGAATTATAATTAAGAGATTAAAGATTAATTATTACTTACTCTTACGAAAATAGCAAAAGACGAAAAATCTGTGGTGGCAAGGTGGGTTCAATTTTGTAGTGACAGGTACCCAATTTTATGTCAAATAGTACAAGTGACTTACTGGTGGTTGAGAGGGTTCATTTTCCTTATTATTTAAAGTACTAAACTGCTCCCTGACTTTATGTCCAATAGTAGAAGTCCATTAAACTCTTGGTGGTCAAGAGAGTTCAGTTCTGTTATTATTCAAATTCTGACGCCTGTCAGCGTGTAACAAGGACTTATTTGGAAACTTTATTCATAGATATTAAATACTTTTGTGCTGTTTAAGATGTACAGAAAATACAGACATAACTATAATATCTTACTTTTGAAGTAGTCAAGTTATTGGAATGGGTACAAGGATTTCAATTTATTTTTTTATGGGCCGAGCTAGAAATCGAACCCTGCCCACTAAGTTTCTTTTTTCTTCATGTTGATAACCAGGATACAATTTTGCATCTTTAAGGATTCTTTTGCTTTCGACAACAGATGCTCCGAGTAATAAAAGCCTTTGATCAACAGAGTTTGTCATTTTCAGTGTGCGACTGCTTAACCATGATCGTTATTAGCCCTTAATAAATTTGCTCATAACATGCGAGGTCCAGCCTAAATCAAATGTAGCCGTCAGTAAAGTTATGGCCAGTCGCTCCTGAAAGTCAGACCCTGAATTGGCATGTTCAGCCGATGGTATTGGGAAGTCTAACTTCACACAAGACTTGCTTGCAAGGTGAATGAATTATGGCCTTTCTCCTATCAAATGAAATTACTTTTTATAGGATATTAGTGAAAAACATCAAATGACATTAAGAAAATAAGAATATGCCGAGGGTTGGTACAGAGGGACGTCGGGGAAACTTGGAAGTCAAAGACGAGCAGAGGGGGAGAACGAGATCAAATCTGAAAAATGAAGTAAATACCAAAGACGTATGAAAAGCTTGAGATGATAGAAAAGAGATATTAATATATTTTTAACACGTTGGCATTACAAAATAAAAGGTGACAGAATAATTTGTCAAGATGAATTTAATTAAGTTCGTGTTAAATGACCATTTGCAGAGGATTACTACTGTTGTGCTGGATTAAATACATGATTTAAAGCGATTCTTAAATCAGAATTATAATTAAGAGATTAAAGATTAATTATTACTTACTCTTACGAAAATAGCAAAAGACGAAAAATCTGTGGTGGCAAGGTGGGTTCAATTTTGTAGTGACAGGTACCCAATTTTATGTCAAATAGTACAAGTGACTTACTGGTGGTTGAGAGGGTTCATTTTCCTTATTATTTAAAGTACTAAACTGCTCCCTGACTTTATGTCCAATAGTAGAAGTCCATTAAACTCTTGGTGGTCAAGAGAGTTCAGTTCTGTTATTATTTAAAGTACTAAATTGCCCCCCGACTTTATATCCAGTATAGTAGTTTATTAAACTACTGGAGTCCAAGAGGGTTCAGTTTTGTTATTATTTCAACACTAAACTGCTCCCCGACTTTATGTCCAATAGCAGAAGTCTATTAAACTACTGGTGGCTAAGAGGGTTCATTTTTGCTATCATTTCAGTAACAAAGTGATCAATAACTTTATGTCCAATAGTAGAAGTCCATTAAACTCTTGGTGGCCAAGAGGGTTCAGTTCTGTTATCATTTAAAGTACTAAATTGCCCTCCGACTTTATGTACAGTATAGTAATTAATTAAACTACTGGAGTCCAAGAGGGTTCAGTTTTGTTATTATTTCAATACTAAACTCCTCCCCGACTTTATGTCCAATAGTAGAAGTCTAATAAACAACTGGTGGCCAAGAGGGTTCAGTTTTGCTATCATTTAAGTGATCCCCGACTTTATGTCCAATAGTAGAAGTCTAATGAATTACTGGTGGCCAAAGGTTCTCTGAAGATGAGAATATTTAAAATGAACCTTTTAGAAGACACACTTGGGTTTTGAACAAGCAGCAATTTGAGTAAAATGCTGGAAGATGATCATAAAATGACAACATCAGCTTTTTCTGCAAACGTGGCATCTTGTGTAAGGAGTGATTCTCATTATTTCAATTTGACAGGGAACGTGGGCATAGCATTGCTTGCTTGCAACAATTATTTTTGACAGCATGGGTAAACTCCTACGTAAAATAAATGAATGTGTATATATATATATATATATATATATATATATATATATATATATATATATATACACAGAGAGAGAGGGGGGAGAAAGATAGACAAATACAGAGATAAAGATGATGTGCAGCTTGAAATATCCGAGATAATGGTATTAT